GAGAGTGGGAGGAGAAAGAGTAAGAGGGAAAGGAGAGAGTGATACGGAGAGTAGAGTAAGAGGGAGAGGGAGGGAGGGAGAGTAGAGAGAGTAAGAGTGAGAGTGAGAGGAGAGATAGTCAGAGGGAGAGGAGAGAGGGATAGCAGAGGGAGAGGGAGGGAGAGGGAGAGGGAGAGGGAGAGTAGAGAGAGTAAGAGGGAGAGGAGAGAGGGAGAGGAGAGGGAGAGTGATAGGGAGAGTAAGAGGGAGAGGAGAGAGGGAGAGGAGAGGGAGAGTGATAGGGAGAGTAAGAGGGAGAGGGAGAGTAAGAGGGAGAGAGGAGAGGGAGAGTGAGAGGAGAGAGGGTAAGAGGTAGAGGGAGAGAGGAGAGAGGAGAGGGAGAGGGAGAGGGAGTAAGAGGGAGAGGAGAGAGTTACTAGTAGAGGGAGAGGAGAGAGGGAGAGGAGAGAGGGAGAGGGAGAGTTATAGTGAGAGGGAGAGGGAGAGGGAGAGGGAGAGGAGAGAGAGAGCAGAGGGAGAGGGAGAGGAGAGGAAGAGGGAGAGGGAGAAGAGGGAGAGGGAGAGGGAGAGGGAGAGGGAGAGTAAGAGAGAGAGGGAGAGGGAGAGAAAGAGGGAGAGAAAGAGGGAGAGTGAGAATAGAGAGAGTGAGAGGGAGAGTAAGAGGGAGAGGGAGAGGGAGAGGGAGAGGGAGAGGGAGAGCTCGCCCTCCACGCGGCGCACCATTGGGGGCGCTGCGGACTATTAGGCCTCGTCGCACATCGCGCGCATTCTGGATTGTCTTATTTATCTGAGATTAAAATATCCATTTGAAAATGCTTGCCACATCTCGGGGATGGCGACGCCAATTCAGCCATCCTGAGATGCAGCGCCCTCCGGCCAGCATCTCAGGATGTAATGGCTCAATCAGGGATGTCGTGGACATCTTTGGTTGCCTCAGGCATCCCAAGATGCATGAAGCAATTCAGGATGCGCGAAGCAATTCAGGATGCGCGCGCATCCTGAATTGCTTCATGCATCTTGGGATGCTCGAGGCAATCTCAATTAAAATGGAGATCGTATCGGCGGCAATTTGAGATGCCGGAGCATTTCAAATTGCGGGTTCCCCGCCCCTGACGAACGCCATCGCCAACGGGCGGACGGCCGCCATCACCCATCAGCGTTCAGCGACCCCATAAAAGGGAAAAAGCACGCGAGATTAAACTGAATTAAAGTGCACCCCCCGCTGCGCCCCACCCGCCGTCGAGAGACGAGACTCCTGTGTCCTGAGCCCTGAGTCGAGTCGTCAGGAGTCCTGACTCATGTCCTGACTGTGACTCGTCGCTCGAGAGCCCCGGCTCGCCGCCTGCGCGGCCCCGTCCCCGATCGCACGGCATCTGGTCCGATCTCGGATACCCGGGGCATTATACCCCCTGGGGATACGGCTCTTACGGCTTACGGGTTACGGCATACGCGCCACAGCGCACAGGCCGAGTTTAACGCGAGTAACGAGTATGGTGTATGGAGATTTGGAGTATTTTTGTTTCCCTGGAAAGCGGAATCCAGGATTCCAGCCACGATTTTTTTATTTTTCCGCGCTGGATCCTGGAAGCTGTATGGTGATTGGTGTGTGTGTCGCAGCAAAACTGGCCCCAGGTTTTTGGTCTCGGGGGTATACCCAAACTGATCGTGAAAACTCTCGATACGAATTGGTTTCGTTGCAGAGCATAACTCATAAGAGTCCCTCTGAAGTTTGGGCACGGAGGCGCCTCTTTTTGCTCGCCAGCCCTCCGCTCAACGGCCGTCGCGCCTCGTCGTCCTGCCTTGCCGTCGCTGGGCGACTCGGAGCGCGATCGCCGCTCACAGTCCCAGCCCCGGCCGCGCTGCCCTGGCTCCGCGGCGTCGCGCTCGACCTTCCTCCCTACCAGCTGGTCGGCGCCCCGAGAGCCCGCACCTGAGAGCTCGCTGCTCGGGCGGAGCAGACCTCGAGCGAGCGCGAGGCGGCCGTCGAGGCGGAGCATGTGCGGCCGCGCGTGTACGCCCCGTACACGCGCGGCCGCACGTGCGCTGACCGGTACGGGAAGTCGGCTGGCTGCCTGGTCAGCTCGGCCGTTTAAATTCCTCTCGCACTCGGCGGCTGCCAAGCGAGCTCAAAGTGCAGATTGGCACGTCGCTCGTGGCCGGAGCGCGTCGCCACGGAGGCGCAGTTGGCCACCGGCGCGAGCTCAGCGACCCAGGCATTCGCGCTCGGCTAGCAGGCGCCGCTCTGCGAGCGAGCGCGCTAACTCCCATTGCGCGGAGATACACACGAGAACCGAAATCGCACCTCGAAATGACGTACGTCCTAGGACGGCCGACTATGAAAATGAAACCTATGCTGTGCGACGAAACCGAAGACCAAAATCCTCGGGGCGGTTTTGCTGCGGAAACGCGGGGACCCTAATCCCTAACCCTATCCCTAACTATACCCTTGACGGCTACGGTACACGACTCGCCCACCACCGCAAAAATACTGCGGCGTCAGGTCGCCGGCCACGCCGGCGGCGGCCCGGCGCGCTCTCAGGACTCAACCCTCTCACACCGCAAAAATGTCGCGACCTGTGGCTGTCTGTGCAGCTCGCGCTGAAGCCGCCACAGTTCCCGCTTCCCCGCCCGCTTGACCTCCCACACAGCACGACCCTCTCCCACGGAGCGGCCGCCGCTCCCCAGCCTGCCCCTCTGCCCCTCTGCTCCCCTCCGCCCGCCCGCCCTACATGTTTGCAAAGAGGCGGGCCTGCTCCTTGACCCTCCTCTCGTACTCGGCGCGGTTGTTGTTGTACACGCGGTACGGCTCCTCCTGCGCCGGGTCGCCCACGTTCGGGTCGTCGAGCAGCGTCTGGATGCCTACGAGGCAGGGTCGGAGAAGGCTGAGGCGAAGGCTCCTGCGGCCGCTGGGCCGTGCGCGGCTCTGGCTGCCGAGCAGCAACTGTTTGATGGTGAGCGCCGGCTTCCATCCCTGGTCGGCGAGGGGAGCGGCGACGTGGGGAGGGGCTGTGAAGCAGTGGGCGGCAAAAGAGGAGAGAGGCGTGAGGGGGAAGAGCGAGGCGGCTGGGAGGGGAGAGGCGGCAGGTATAGGAGGGGCGGCGGCGGCGGCGAGGCCTTGTCGGCGTCGAGCAGCGAGAGGCAGATCTTGCCGGAGGGGTAGACGTTGGGGTGGAAGAGCGGCTTGTCGTTGGGCGCCTTGCCAAACTTGCACTCGGGCGGCTTGCTCGGGTACTCGTCGGTGAAGACCATGTGCACAGGGTAGCGGCCCGCGCCCCAGATGGTGTCCTTCTTGCCGGGCACGACGCAGTCCCAGTGCAGGATGTCCTGCGTCCCGTCGGGATTCGTGCGAGGCTTTGCCACAAATCCCTGAGGCGACGAAGGGGTGAGGCGCCGTGAGCGTGCGGCGCGGGCTCTCGCGCGACTGGCGTGCGGCGCGCACGTGCGGGTGGTCTCTCCGCCAGAGCTTTCGCTCCTCCTGGAGGCGGCCGCGAGCGATGCCGGACATGCCCTGGGGTGGGGAGCCGAGGGTGAGGCGGCGCAGCACGCCGCCGCCGGGCAGGGGCGCGAGGAGCGCGCCTCGCAGCACCGATGCGGGGACAGGGCGGAGAGTGTAGGCAAAGGCACTACCTACCCGCCGCGGCCGCTGTAAAGAAGAATGACATCTGAAAGTTCACCGACCACCTCCTCTCGCGCAGACGGACCCCATTCACCTCATTCCCCGCTACGCGTGTATCTCACCGAACGGCGCCTACTATCTTCTCTCACCGCTAGGAATCCATCCCTGCCTGGATCATGGTTTGGTTCCTCGGGCGAGCTGGCGCGTGTGTAGACCGCGCCGGCGGCCCTGGGAAGTTCGACACCGCGTCGACGTCCAACAGCCTCTCCTACGCAGAGAATCACGCCACTTGCCGCCGGTCCTGCGACGTCGACGCACTCTGCGTCGGCTACAGCTTTTACGCTCCGCTCCGCTACGGAGGTCAGGTCGAGTGCAAGACCTATAAGGCGCAAGCATCGAAAGACATGATTGCGGGCGCAACGCCCTCGAGCGGCACGACGTGCTACGAAAAAATGAATTCACCGACGCCGTCGCCTCCGCCGCCGCCGCTCCCGCCACTGCCCCCGCCGCCGCCGCCTTCGCCTCCCGCGGCCCCGCCGCCAGCCCCGCCGCCGTCGCCGTCGCCGCCTCCACCCTCGCCTCCAACCCCGCCTCCGAGCCCGCCGCCGACGCCGCCAGCTACGCCGCCGCCGCCACCAGCAGGGCGAGGCGCTCAAAATCGCGGCCGACTGCCTCCGCTCGGGCTTCCGTCGCCATCGTGTGTCTTTCCCGACGCGCTGTGCCTTGGCCAGAAATGCGGAGACTGGATCGGCACCTCCTGCACCAGCCCCTCCCTCCAGGGACTCTGGGCCGGCCACACCTGCCCGCATTGCCGCGGCTGCTGCTCCGTGCAGCCGCCGCCTTCGCCTCCCGCAGCCCCGCCGCCGCCGCCACCGAAGCCGCCGCCGCTGCCGCCTCTCTCGCCGCCGCCGCCGCCGCCGCCGCCGCCGCCGCCGCCGACGCCGCCGCCTTCGCCTCCCGCGGCCCCGCCCTCGCCGACCCTGCCGACGCCGCCGCCGCCGCCGCCGCCGCCGCCGCCGCCGCTCGCCCCACCCCCACCCTTCTACGCCGACTTCGTCGAGAAGCTCGACGGGACGGTGCGGACGGGGTACGAGACCGTGGCGCCCGTCGTCAAGGAGCTGGAGAAGGAGCTGGGCGCGCTGCTCCCTGAGCGGTGGGCCCAGAAGGTCGACGAACACGGGAGCGCGGTGCGCGAGTGGAGCCTGCGCCCCCTCGGCGACTCGCTAAAGCTAAACTTGGACGACCGGAACCGGACATCCACTCCGAGTGCTCTCCCCCCTCTCCTTCGCGATCTCGCTAAAGCTAGACTTGGCCAAACCATCCTCGCCAGTTCCCCGCTGAAGTTGGCGCTGGGAGTAGCCGTGTGGCTCTTCCTGGCGCTCTGCTTCTACCGCTGCTGCTGCCGGCGGCGCAAGCCGCCTCACAAGCGGCTCGTGGTTCTGGAGCCCGACGAGGAGGAGGCGCGGGGCGGCAAGCCGAGTCGGCGGCGGTCGAAGCGCCCCTCCGATGCCATGCCGTTCTTGCCCTCAAACCGGTCCGCAGCGGAGCTGGAGCTGGCGGAGCAGGTGGCGGATCTGGAGCGGCGCCTCGCCGTGAGCAAGGCCACAGAACTGGCGGAGCAGGTGGCGGAGCTGGAGCGGCGCCTCGCCGTGAGCAAGGCCACAAGGCCGGAAGTATAGCATCACTCGTTCAGGTGGCGCAGGCCGCGAGGTCTGAGCGGGAGAGGCTCGACGCTGCCTGATTAATGAGAGGTGGCGCGGCGTCTGCGAATGCTCTGGAGCATAGAATGCCAGCTGCAACTCGCGCGACTCTGGCCTTTGTTTGCGCGTGGGGAAACACGGCGCGATGCTAACGCTACAGTATCGGCTCGTGGAGGTTGAGGGCGGGATGGAGGACGTTGGGCGTCGTGAGAACTGAAAGGGGGGCGGGGGGTCGGGCGTGGATGGAGGAGTTCACTTTTGTATTGTTTTGTATTCTGGTTATAGCACCATGGAGTCCATGTGCGCAAGCGGAGCGGTAGCGCCTGAGCTCCCGGGCGGCTGCGCCGGCCGCGCGGGCTGCGGCTGCGGCGTGCGGGCGCAGCGTGGGGCCGGGAGCGGCCTGCTCCGTGCTCATGTATCCAGCGTCTCTAGACGATTACAAAGGATCGGACGTCACGCACATTTTGACAGGGACGTCGGAAATCGGACACATCCACTGGGACGAGTCAATTCATTCACTAGAATGACTAGAATGACTAGAAAGGGCACCCATGGGGGGTGATCGCACCATGCTTGGACAAACTGAGCGAATAGGCTCAGCCTGTTATATAGCACCAAGTCGTGACACTGACAGACAGAGGCACCACCTGCCCCTGGCCCCCTCTCTAGCCGTAAAAAAGCCGTAGAGCCGAGCCTCTTCGTGACGCCCGCTTCCTTAGTAAAACACAGGCCCAGCGAGCCGCGCGCTGAGCGCCTGAGCCAGCCCATGAAGTGCCACAGACCAGAGTGCAGAGACCTCCGCTGGGTAGAGTTAGGTCAGCGCCCGGTTTATTGAGCTCGAAGGCGCAGTGAACACAAACAACCGCCTCGAGCGTACCACCGCTCACACCTGACACCACACACGAGCGGGGGCGGGGCGGGGCGAGGCGGGGGGGGGCAGAGGAGAACCGTCAGATTTTCAGGCGTAACCTGAAGTCCGTCGTGACGCGCTCAATCGCTCCCAAGCAAAAGCCTGTGGCTCTTGCGAACTCGTCGATATATTGCGGATAGACTGCTCTTCGCGCATAGCAGCATGCAGAGTCAGAGAGAGGCGCAGAAAGGCTACTGTACCGTACGAAAGTGTGAACAGGTTGGAGCAGCAGCTCCTGAGCACGGCGCCGCAGGGGCCTGTTGATAGGTCCAGGTGATAGCCCTGGATGGGGAATGCATACGCCCAGTTGGGCCTCAGATCGCCCGACCGCGTCCCGGTGCTCTGTGGTCGGATTTGTGACGCCGCCGCACCGCGCCGCGGCCGGGGGCCCTCCAGAGGCCGAGGATGGCCGTGGCGGACCAGAACGAGCTCTGGGAGGTTCAGTGTCAGTGTATATATTGTAGAGACTAATAATGTCCACAATATCTTTCAATCTAGCTAAGCCTGGGAAGGCGATGCCGGGGCCGTACAGCAGCTTGATGGTGTTTCGCCGGCGTGCGTCCCGGAGCGGTGCCGGACGGGCGGTCGGGAGAAAAACTCAGGACAACGCCAACGCCGCTCTGATTCGACTTTTAACTTCAAACAAAGACAGTGGCACGCGCCGCAGCGCGGCGCGTGCGTCTGTCAGGAGCGGATCCGTCAGTTAGTCGTGTTCACGCCAGGGGTAGTGTCCTGACTAACCTGTGCAGTTTAGGCTACAACAGTACGGGGAACTGACCGCATCAGGGCGGGCTTCCGAATCCTCCGTGAGCACCTCCCAACCTCACCCAAACCAACTCCCAGACACAACCTCACCCAAAACAACACAACTCATCACCCACACGACCTAGATGGTCCCTAGCTCCCTAGCACGCCCACAGGTGCCCACGCGGGGAGGCCAAGCAAAATTCCTTGTCACGTGAACGGCGCCTACCCAGCGCTGACTTCTGACTGTCGTTGCTGTCTCTCCCTTCTCGACTGTCTGTGCTTGTCGTCGTGGGTCCGCGGTTGTGTTTTTGTGTGAACGGCGCCCAGCGCTGACTTCTGACTGTCGTTGCTGTCTCTCCCCCTTCTCGACTGTCTGTGCTTGTGCGTCTTGGGTCCGGAGTTGTGCGTTTATGTGAACGGCGCCTTCTCTTGTGACCGCCCTTCGGTACCTTCAAACAGGTTCAAGGGAAAATGGCATCGTACCTCGAGCGAGCTGGCGCGTGTGTAGACCGCGCCGGCGGCCCTGGGAAGTACCAATCCGCGTCGACGTCCAGACCTCTCCTTTGCCGCCGGTCCTGCGACGTCGACGCTTTCTGCGTCGGCTACAGCGTTTACGCTCCGCTCGTCGGAGGTCAGGTCGAGTGCAAGACCTATAAGGCGCAAGCACCGGAGGACGCGATTGCGGGCGCAACGCCCTCGAGCAGCACGACGTGCTACGAAAAAATATATTCACCACCTCCGCCGCCGCCGCTCCCGCCACTGCCCCTGCCGTGTGTCTTTCCCGACGCGCTGTGCCTTGGCCAGAAATGCGGAGACTGGATCGACACCTCCTGCACCAGCCCCTCCCTCCAGGGACTCTGGGCCGGCCACACCTGCCCGCATTGCCGCGGCTGCTGCTCCGTGCAGCCGCCGCCCTCGCCTCCCGCAGCCCCGCCGCCGCCGCCACCGAAGCCGCCGCCGCTGCCGCCTCTCTCGCCGCCGCCGCCGACGCCGCCGCCGCCGCCGCCGCCGACGCCGCCGCCTTCGCCTCCCGCGGCCCCGCCCTCGCCGACCCTGCCGACGCCGCCGACGCCGCCGCCGACGCCGCCGCCGCCGCTCGCCCCACCCCCACCCTTCTACGCCGACTTCGTCGCGAAGCTCGACGGGACGGTGCGGACGGGGTACGAGACCGTGGCGCCCGTCGTCAAGGAGCTGGGTGGGGAGTTGGACGCGCTGCTCCCTGATCGGTGGGCCCAGAAGGCCGCCGAACACGGGAGCGCGGTGCGCGAGTGGAGCCTGCGCCCCCTCGGCGACTCGCTAAAGCTAAACTTGGACGACCGGAACCGGACATCCACTCCGAGTGCTCTCCCCCCTCTCCTTCGCGATCTCGCTAAAGCTAAACTTGGCCAAGCCATCCTCGCCAGTTCCCCGCTGAAGTTGGCGCTGGGAGTAGCCGTGTGGCTCTTCCTGGCGCTCTGCTTCTGCCGCTGCTGCTGCCGGCGGCGCAAGCCGCCTCACAAGCGGCTCGTGGAGCCCGACGAGGAGGAGGCGCGGGGCGGCAAGCCGACTCCGCGGCGGTCGAAGCGCCCCTCCGATGCCCTTCATCAGCCGCAGGAGCTGGCGGAGCAGTTGGCGGAGCTGAAGCTTAGGATGAAGGAGGTGGGGGAGCTGGAGCGGCGCCTCGCCGTGAGCAAGGCCACAAGGCCGGAAGTCGCATCACTCGTTCAGGTGGCGCAGGCCGCGAGGTCTGAGCGGGAGAGGCTCGACGCTGCCTGATGAGAGGTGGCGCGGCGTCTGCGAATGCTCTGGAGCATAGAATGCCAGCTGCAACTCGCGCGACTCTGGCCTTTGTTTGCGCGTGGGGGAACACGGCGCGATGCTAACGCTACAGTATCGGCTCGTGGAGGTTGAGGGCGGGATGGAGGACGTTGGGCGTCGTGAGAACTGAAAGGGGGGCGGGGGGTCGGGCGTGGATGGAGGATGCACTTTTGTATTATGGTTATAGCACCATGCTTGTGGACAAACTGGGAGCGAGAATAGGCTCACCCGAGATGCAGAGCGAGAACTTCAACTTGCCGCCGCGGCGCGGCGTCTCTCTCTCTGCCGTGTACTTTGTCCGCGCGGCGAGTGGTATGGAGCCCCGAGCACCGCAATCGAGGAGACTGTGTCTGCGATCACCTGCGTTCGACACAGGATGCGCCTGCGCCTAGATTCCTTTAGTGTAGAGTGCTGTAGAGCTGGAGAGCTGGAGAGCGCTGTAGAGCTTGTAGAGCTCTACATCCGGCGCGTGACGATGTGAGTCGCCTGTAGAGCGATGTAGAGGCGCTCTACAACGTGAAGTCTCTACAACAAGCTCTACATCATAAGCGGCGAACGAGGCACGGTCGCTCTCCGACATGAGGCGCGTTGCACTTGCCAGTGCTGCCCTGGCCTTCTGTCTGCCCGCCCAATGGGTGGCAGGTGCCTCTGCTGCTGTGGCATGCCTCGCGGCTGCGACTGGCCGGCGCCTCGGCGCGTCAGCTCGGCTCGGCGTAGCGATCGTGGCCAGCGCAACTTGCCTGGACTCAACGCTCAGCCAGGAGCTCCCGCACGCGCTGGCGCGAGTCATGGCGCATGCAACGCGCAGCAATGCTCGCCTCGCCTCGCGCAAATGCGACCGTCCTCGCCGCCGACAGTCCACCGCCTGCTAAAGAAGCACAGCGACGAATGCGGCTCCGGCGACGCATGGCAGGCTGGTCATGACGCAGTTATAGGGTGTTGTGTGCCGTCAGAGTGACTCTCTGTGTGTCAGGGGATAGTCAGGGCCGTCCATCAGAGCTCCAGTAAGCTCGGAGACACCCCATTAGTGCGGCTCGACCTCTTTGAGTTAACTGCCTTCCCGGCGGTTTGGCGTAGAGCCTCTACAACAAACTCTACAGCAAAGTCGCGCTCTACATCGCTCTACAACGCACGCAGTTCGTCACGCGCCGGATGTAGAGCTCTACAGCTCTACAGCGCTCCAGAGCGCTCTACAGCTCTACAGCTCTACAGCTCTACAGCGCTCTACACCGTGCTGCTTCCGCTTGCGTTTTTCTCGCGTGAGTATCTTCTGACGCGCACGGCGAGATCCGCG